GGAAAGCGCAAAGTTGCTTAAACAAAATACTAAAAAAATGCTGCTTTTGCAGCATAAATGAAAGACAAACAGATACTAACTAATTAGATATTAAATAAATAAATAAAAATAAAACAAGCAGATAGAACTAGCGGACATAACTGTGAACCTACACAGTAAAATAATTCTGAATTCAAACGTTCTTCATTGTACCAATGCCGAGAAGGCATGACACTGTACTACAGAATCTGTTGCTACTCTTCAGTAGAGGAGGGCATGATTGATGTAGAACGCCAAATAAAGTGAAATAAAGTATTTAAATAATCATAATGCCCTCGTAGACGACTGAGGGTTTGAAGGAACAATATGAACTAAGTGAGTAAAATGAGCAAGCTAAAACAGGTCACTGGACTCAAACGACAATCAAACGATCATCTACTGAGGACCGTATTGTGGTGAAACTCAAACATAACCCAGATATGTACAGAAATGAATGCAACGAAGGTGAAGATCTAACTCACGTTTTCCAGCCCAAAAAGGAATAGAATTTTAGGTTAGGAATTATGAGGTCGGATGCCATTGGATGCAGTTTCATTCACTGTGTGCATAAATTGATTCCAGCATGACCATCGCTACGAGATGATTAAAAGTATATGACTGTTCGTTATTTGACTCCATACTCTTGGCCTTGTGACTTTTGACCCTCGAAAGATCGGGCTTTCAGATTTGAAACTACAGAACCAGATCTTCTGCGCTTATTTGCATTCACTGCTCTGTACGAACAAGCCCCGTATGACCATCGGCGCAAACTGGTTAGCAGTAGATGATATTCAGTCATCGTTTAACATTATAAAGCTTTTCCTTACATTCACTACATCTAAATGATCCAAAGTTTACATGCGCAACTGCCAGACCAAACATTATGCGTCTTAATCTAATGGTCATATGTCTTAGGTCACCTAAGGCATTTGCCATACGAAAGCACGCAGCAGCCAGCCATCATTATTTGTTCCTCGAATATGTTTCGAATACTCCTCCTTTAAAACTCAATAAGATTATCTCCCATCTCAGGCTGATCGCCATGTTCTAGAGCACGCTCATAATTCTTGGAATAATCTGAAATCTCTGAAATCCTTGAAACGATCATATCAGACAGCTTGTAGGTAAACTGCATCATATATCGGGCAAGTTGTTGCCTTGATATAAATTAACGGTTTTGGGTAATTGAGGCACTGCTGGTAGGCCTCGACAAATACTGTTGTCACATGGCTAACAAAGTGAGGGACGCAGACAAATGAAATGATGAATTACTTATGATTGGCTTAATTTTGTGACTCTACTATTTTCCATGGTATAGTAGAGCTGAGTATCGCTTGAGTTATTCGCCATTTTGCAAATAAGTTTCAGATCAGGTCAGCATCTAGCTAACGAAATATCTTGAGAATTTCGCACCTTGCCCCTGTTTAACATGGTTATTCTCTAAAGATGCAATGAATAAACCTTAATATTATTAGGGAAAACTAGGCTGAAGACCAAGGGCGGAAAGTTTACACGATATTTTCTCAGAAAGAACTTCCTTACTCACGTTTGTTATCCAAAGACGTACAGAAAGGGTTGATTTCGATCATGGTAGCGTCGAGCTTCACAAACATGTCGTACAGTCGTTGAATTTGAACAGCTGCCTGCAAAGTAGCAGACTGCACATTATTAGTTCGTAAAAGCAACAGTAATTTACTTACTTCCTGCAAGAACTCATCACCCAGTCTCAAGGAGGAAGCAATTTTAAGACACTGCTCTGGTAATATACCTTTGTCGATGTTGATAATCTCCTAAATCGACGGTGTAAACGTTTATCTGCAGAAAGAAACATATACTTTGAATATTGAACCCGGCGATCTGACTGCAATTTCTTCGATGTCCACGCCACCAGATGCACAACCCATAACAACAGGACTTGAAGACTCCTTATCGAGAAGTACTGCCAAATACGTTTCTTTTGATATATTCACCGACTCGGCGATCATAACCTTGACGAGAATAGAAACAAAAAATTACCTGATGCAACAATGGCATACCTTTTTAACCAATACGCCTTGCGGTCCCGTCTGTTTGGTAATTAGCGAATAGCCAATCATGTCCCGTACGTAGGATATGACATCCTTGGAGCTAAAAATGAGACATAATTGGAAGACGTAGAAGAAGGAACTGAACTTGCGAGAAAAAGATACATTATACTGCAACAACACCGGATGTTTCGGTGTTGCCTGGTCGAGATTTAATTACATATATTGTCCATTTTTAATAAATATTTTATTTTATTGATACATGGTTCAAGGCAATAACTTATTAGAACGACGGTCAAATGCTTGTGTCTACTAACACATTTCAATAGCATATACCTGCTTCCTTCTAGTAAAATACAAATAAAACTGCACCGCAGACGAACAGTTATCACCCAGTGATCACCTGGGTAGCAGGATCCGTTATTTCATCAAACCTAGCGAATAAGTTAGAAAATGACATTTTCGCTATCTTTCAGATTAAACCAGCTTGTCTAGCGTTATACCTTCAGCTTT